AAAGCAGACAAGAATATACATTGGTAAGCAATAATGCACAATATTTGAAAAGTATGATGTTCTAGCCCGGCCAGTTTGGCTCAGCGGTTAGAGCGATGGTCCTCGGAGGAAAGAGTCATGGGTTTGATTCCAGTCAAGGGTATGTACTTCAGTTGTGGTTCGATACATAGCCCTGGTTGGGGTCGTGCAGGGGACAACCAATCGATGTGTCTCTCTCAAATCGATGTTCCTCTTTCTCTCTCTCTCTCTCTCTCCCTCCCTCCCACCCACTCTATCTGAAAATCAATGGAAAAATATCCTCAGGTGAGGATTAAAAAAATAAAATAAAAGTATAATGTTCTAGAAATTATAGGACACAAAAACCTGTGATTACAGCTTATAAGACACTAGGCCAAATTCTTCCAAACTCCAAGTTTAATACACTGAGGATGCCAACCTGTCCCAAGACACTTTTTTGGGAAACTGCAATAAGAGTGGAAGTAAAAGAGAAGGATTTTAAACTAAAGAGCCCACCAAACCTACCCCAATGCCTGTCCAGGAAGTTCCTGGGGCTAAAATAGCTCAGTAAGGGATTTTTGGTTAGAGGTCCTGCTTTGATCTTAAGTCACCACAAGAGGTATCCTCTAGATCCAGGTCAACTCACAAAAAAGGCAAGCAAACCAGTCTGGAAATGACTGAGCTGTGCTAATACACTTGTGAGAGGCTTTCAGGAGTTCTGATGTAGGACACTGGAACCAACAATGGCCTGCATGAGCTCCTGCTGCTGTGAACCAGGGATTCTGACCAGGCTTCTAGCCCAACACTGCAGGGGCCCTCGGCTAGTCTCTCTGGGCCTTGGTTTTCTTATCTTTAATATTAAAAAGTGCAATTGCTGTTTTTTTGTTTTTATGACACTATAAACACACACAACATTGACTTTTATCTGCAATAATCTCTCTTCAAAGATTTGAGTTCCTCTCAAGTGACCCCTTCGTAACTGCAGAAGTAAAACCCTTAATTGAAACAGGAAGGGGTCTGGGTGAATCAAAGCCAAGAAAAGCATACCAGTGCTTCTCTCAAAGATAAGGTAATAAAAGTATGAATAAAACTAGAGGGATCTACAGTCTACAAAAGAGTTTGCATGTATAACATGAATTAAGTCTCTTTTAAGTTCAAGCTAACATCTATTTGAATTTGAATACAAAAATTAAATCTCTTTTAAGCACAAGCCAACATCTATTTAATAAACTAGTGCATTACCAAAGATAACAAGATTGGTAACCTGTGTCACAGAGAAAGACTTCCAAAAGTGCTGTAAAAGGGAAGGCTTCGATTAAAGAAACACAGGAAATATCTCATTGAGAGAGTAGAATAGATGGATGCAGACAGACAGGTATAACTTTGGCTGGATTTGTCTACCTAGCAGGTATTCCAGGTTGCAGGCAGAATACAAACAATGCCACTGAAGTTGGAAAGGCCAGGAGTCCAGTTTTGTATACACAGTTCATGGTGGAAGGGGGGCACTATGATTTGAGGCCAAATCACAACAGTCTTGATGGACAGAATGTGGATTCAGTTGCATGAATGATCTTACAGGACAGAGATACCTGGTGAAAATATTCAGTAGATGTCTTAAAGATCAAAAACTCTCTTTTGCCTAAATTTAAATATCTTCCAACATTTAAATAAGAAGGTGCTAATTCATTAACACTATTCTAATATGACTAATGAAAAAGACAACTTAAAACTCCCTTTCAAAGATTTGTGAAATAAAACTTAAATTTTAAAGTTATTTTGAAATGACTTTCTAGAAACAGAATACAAAGATTCATCCAGAAAATTTATATTTGTTTAATGCTTAGAAAAGGGAAGGAAAATAAAACAAAGGATTATTTTAGCCTCCAAAGCAGCACTATTTAATCTTTTAAAAATTACCTGTATAAGTTTATGAGCAGTTTTTTTTTTTATTTTTATTTTTTTTAAATTTTTTATTGTTTTTTGTTACAGATGTTTCTCCTTTTTTACCCTATTGACACTCTCCTCCCCATCCCCCCCCCCCACCCTGTCCCCGGCTTTGTTGTCCATGTCCATTGGTTATGCATACATACATATAAGTTCTGTGGTTTATCTCTTCCCACCCCCCACCACCCCCTCTCCTGAGGGATGTCAGTCTGTGCCCTACTTCCATGTTTCTGGGTCTACCGTATTCCTCAGACTGTTATGTTCATTATGTGTATAAGTGAGATCATGTGGTATTTGTCTTTTTCTGCTTGGCTTGTTTCACTGAGGATAATACTTTCCAGGTCCCTCCATGTCCTCTCAAAGGATAAGAGCTCTTTCTTTCTTACAGCTGCATAGAAGTCCATTGTGTATATGTACCACAGCTTTATTATCCATTCGTCTACTGATAAACACTTGGGCTGTTTCCAGATCTTAGCTATTGTAAATAGTGCTGCTATGAACATGGGGGTACATATATTCTTCCTGATTGGTGTTTCAGGCTTCTTTGGGTATATTCCTAGAAGTGGGATCACTGGGTCAAATGGAATGCTATATTTTTATAAATACAGAAAGCCCCTGTGATGAAACTTTCAAGAAACACTAGGCTGAGAATCACTAGGAGGAGAACTTGGTGTCAGTTATGTCTTGAAATCACTAAGCATCTCTGCGTCTCCACAGCCCCAGCTTTCAACTGAGAATACTTAATCATGATCTCTAAATGCCATTTCATAAAATATAATTTGAAATAATAGAAATTCATAGCTGCTGTTATATACTCAGGGAAGCAGTGGAGTGGAGTAGCGTGGATTGGGCTTTTGGGGTGGGCTAATTGGAGTGTTCAAATCTAGGCTCCCTCAGTACTAGCTGGGTTTAGGTTTCCTTCTCCATAAAGAAGGGATACTTACCTTTATAATATGTTGGAAGAACTGGCACTCTGTAGTCACTAAATAACGGCAAACATTAAGTCTCTGATCAATGGAAAATGGTTCTCCACGTCACCAAAGCAGTTAGTTTCCTAGAACTCAGCTTAGAGAAGAGCAGGGACTGACTTACAGTCCTTTCCAAAGGGTGAGAACATAAACATGATACTAGAGAGGGCTCATGGGTGGAAGTAGGAGGGATAAAACCAGGAGGTTGAAGACAGGCAGAGGTTTAGAGTCCTGCACTTAACAACAATGAACAGGGAAGAAAATATCATGAGACAGAATACTTGAGGGAAGAAGACATTTTTTCTTAGAAAGAGGACCTCTGGTGAAAAAAGATATAATGAATTATTGTAATTATTTCTTAACCAAAATAAAGCACAGGGCTGGTTAGAGTCTATTAACGTCACTAAAGAAAACAAAGAAGGCTTTGGCAATATACAAATCTCATTTCCTTTGCCTATTCATAATTCTTACACAGGGTTTTAAATGATCCCGCTCTGCCCATCTCGAGTGTCATCTCCTACCACTGTCCTCAACTTCACTCTCCCCTAGGTTTACTCCACTCAAGTCATCTATCTCTGGAATATGCCAAGCGAATGTTTCCTTCAGCTCTTTTGCACATCTGCCTGGAAACTTCCAGCAGATCTTTCCCTGGCTGACTCATTCTAAACATTCAGGTCTCACTCAAACTGTCACTTCTTCAAGAAAGTATTCACTGACCATCATACTTAACCTTCCCCCCACTTCCCAGTCACACTCTAGTTCCGTACCCTATAATATTTTTTTCTAACGTTCACCATTATCTAAAGTTGTCATTTTTGTTTACATGTTTATTTTATCTCCGACAAAATGTAAGGTCTTTGAAGGCAAAAATTTTATCTAAATTTTTCAGCGCTCAGTCCATAACACCTAAAACAAAGTGTGACATAGATGATTCACTCAGATAAATTTGTCCAAAGAATAAATTCAAATGATATTACCATCCTTCTGTGAACTTAAGTTAGGAAAAGTCCCCGAAAACAGCTTTAGTTTCATTTCTTTAATGCAGTTTTACACAATAATGCAGCCTTAAAAGGTCAATGTTTAAGACAGCAAGATGTAAAGAGAATATATCCTTCAAGATAATAGAAAAAATGTATGTATGCTTATACTATGCGATAAACATTTTTACTTTATGAATAAAGCAACAGTACCATAAGTTGTTTCGTTTTGTGAGATCCTGCTTCTAGAAAGAGAGGGTGTATGAGTAGATGGTTTAATAGGAATTATTTTTCATAACCCTTCTCAACAGAGTTCTGAGATAAAAGAACTGAACTCATTCCAGTATATTTGAGAGGTTAGACCTGTTACTTTGTTACCTTGCTAAACCTATCCCAACAATTACTGAGTGAAGTGATGAATTCAGTGACTCCATGTGAAATAAAGACAAATGGCATGGTGAACAACCGGCACATTAAGGGAATACTAAGGAAAGTTCACATTAACCCCTGTTTGAACTAAGAGAAAGAAAAAAAAAATCCCTTTCTAATACTAAACCAAAGTTAGCATGCTACTGAGATTTCAAAATATTGCCAGGTGCCTACAAGTGGGCAAAGCAGTGAACTAAACCATAGCCAACACATTCATGACTTGTGCTTTAAATTTTAAATTTTGTTGTGTGCTGAACACAGCTTTTGTTATTGAATAAAAGATTCCGCTGACATTTGTCTGTATAGCCCAGGCATCACCCTAGTCACCACCCCAGTTACCATTCTTGACCACTCTGGAGGGCTCAGGGCGACAACATGAGGCTGGACCCACTGAAGACTCCACGTGGTTTGCTACTGCAAACATCCCCCGAATCCCAGCCCAAGCCCTGGATGAATATGGGCTAAGCATTCTGCAACTTCACTTCTGTGTATCTTTTATAAACTCAGGCTGCCTAGCCCATCCTCCTCCTCCTCTCCGGGGGACGCCGCAGGGATTAGCAAACAGCCGGGTGCTCGGGCTCCGGCCTCCGCTGGAGGGTCTCCCGTGAGCCCCGGGGAAGTCATCCGACCCTGGCTGACTCAGTTTTCCAATCTGTCAAATAGGATGACGAGAAACCCAGCCTACCTCATTGGGCGGTTCCGAGCCTCCGCCCTAGGCTGGCGCCGGCACAACACGTCCCCGGTCACGCCCTTGGGGGCCCTTGCGAGCGGAAGGGCGGGCTCTGCAGGCGAGACCCACGATCGAGCCCAGCAGGCGACACGCAGCCCCTAAACCTCCACGAACACCCGGTTCGTGACGTCAGCACGCTGACATAGACGCACAGAGTTCACATGTCGCCCTAGGGACCAAAGACCTGGGTGAGGCCAAAGTGTCTTAATAGACTCACTGATTGGTGAATTTCTATGTCAATCATCTGATGCCCAATAAACTAGGCTTAAAGGCGGGAGAGAGCGGGCGGGCCTGCTCGAGGAGAGGGTGGGAATTTGGAACTGTAGCTTTGAGAGCGTGGAGCTGGCTGCTCTTGTCCTAATCTGGTACTGCTCGTTTTTTTTAAACGGCTGCTTAACCCCTTCAACAATTTTGCTTTTTCCGCCTTTCTCCAGTCTCTCGGTGGGGGTTTAGGCTCCAGCTCGTGAAAAATAATCATGGGACTGGATTTCAGGGCTTCTAGGCACCTCGCACAAACCTCTCCAGGAATGAAAAATGGGACATTGTATTTTTCTGTTCAGGTTCTGCCTCCAGTTCCTTAGGCATTCAATTCACCTGTTGGAGGCAACTAGTGTTGCTGACATCTTAGATATTATTCCAAAGTCCTTCTAAGTGCTGTAACTGATTTGAAGTTACACATAAACATAAATTTAATCATTACAGATTAGGCTGATATCCTGCTCAGGCACTAATTGCAAACCCAGTCCCTATATGATGACTCCTAGTTCCTATGCATTCACGAATGTATCGATGTTGTTGTTGTTGTTGTTTTACAATCAACATAGAGTTGAGATCATTCCATATCTCTATATAAGCTTACCCAATTCTTTAAAAATACTGCATAGTGGTCCTCAGAACCAATAGATACAATTATGATTCCCCTATCCTAGGACATGTAGTTTGTTACTTTCTCTTGTTATTTATTGATTTATTCGGAAGCATTTCAACCTTCAACATAAGTGCATGTGCCTTTTTGTACCTATGTAAGTGTTCTGGAAGTTGAAGATACTAACAAGTGAATGTGCTGGGTAGTGTATGCTCATTTCAAATCTTGGTAGTAGTTTTCCTCCATTTGCTCCTCTAAGTAGCTGTAACAATTTACATACCTACCCTTAATATATGAAAAGCCCTTTCCCTGCACCCTTGCCAAAATTGATAAAATACAGTATTTAAATTTTTCTGAATCAGTGGGTATGAAAATATTTTAAGGGATAACATATAAAAAAGAACTGCAATAATCATGACTGTATATCGTGATAACAAAGTGAATGAACTTGTGTAATCACCTCCTAGATCAAGTTTTAAATGTTTCCCAACAATATAGAAAAGCTCTTATGCTTTGTCTTAGTCATTGCATGCCTACACAAAAGTAGCCACTGTTCTGAATTTTATCACCAAATAAGTTTTGCCTGGTTTTGAATGCTTATAAATGGCCACACATATGGTGTGCTTTTGTGTGGCTCTTTTGCTCAATGATATATTTGTAAGATTGAGCTGTTGGCAACTGTAGGAATGGTACCAAGTGTTAGACCAGTGGGGTCAGACCAGACCTTGGTTCATCAACCTTAGTACTTGAGTTCTGACTAGGAAAGGATTCAGAGCCAAGACTCAAGCTAAAAGAGAACATTTATTTAGAAAAATCACAGAGGTAGAAGAATAATTCGTAGAAGTAATAGGCTTAGGAAACAAATTGTAGAGGCAAAGGAAGAGCCCTTGGAACTTAGAAGTGAGGAAGGTAAAGGTGAAACTCCTGGGGCCTGTGGGGGAGGCTTGGGGTGTTCCTGGGAGGGAGAGCCACTGGATCCTCTTTTCTGAGGGTGTTATTAAGGATGGAGATTTTAGGTGAGGTCCCTGGGGAAGATCTCAGTAGAATATGCATTAGCTTTCCAGGTATGTCCTTTCAGAGTTGTGGTCTCCACTGATTGATTGGCCAGTGCCAGGGCAGGGGGTCATTATTCAATGCAACTGGTCCTGAGGTCAGCCATGGTTTTGCTTGTCGGGTTTTGCTGCTTTTCTGGGCCTGGAGCTGAACTATAACAGAGACCTAGATATTATCTCTAGGGAGGAAAGATCAGGGAGTCTAAATTGAATGACCAGAGATATGAAAGATCAGAGGATCCAAACCACATGACCAGACATATGCTAGGGAAGGAAAGGTCACCCTGGGGATGAGGTCCCACCCTACAATTGTCCATTGCTAGGTACCTGGGGCTTTCCACCCTGATGACCTTCTGCCCCTGGCCCATCATCCTTGCTCTGTTCACATCTGTCTAACTGCCTACTACAGACCAATATTAAAGAATGTAGTAGTACTTTATTCATTTTCATGTTTGTATATAATCCCAAAATTTCTTTATTCTAATATTGCTTGACATTAGGTGGTTTAAAGTTTGGGGTGGCTACAAATAATGCTGCTGTGAATATTATGGTATCAGTCTGTTGATGCACATAGTTACAGATTTGATTTTCTTTTAATACTCACCTGAAGTTGTTTTTTCCATTGATTTGTAAAGAGAGTGAGAGGGAGGGAGCAAGAGAGAGAGAGAAAAACATCAATGTGAAAGAGACACATTGATTGGTTGCCTCCTAAACGTGCCCTGACTGAAGCCTGGCATAGACCCTGCAACCCAGGTACCTGCCCTTGACCAGGAATTGAACCTGCGACCCTTTAGTGTGTGAGCTGACACCCTAATCACTGAGCCACACTGGCTAGGGCCAGATTTGATTTTGGTAAACACTTAGTAATAGTATATAGTATTACTGTGCCACAGGATATGCATATATTCAGTATTAGTAAACACTACCAAATTGTTTGGTTTACCAATTTATAACCCACTAGCAGTGAATGAAATTCCAGTTGCTCTACATCTTTGCCTGACCCGTCCCGCAGGTGGAGCAACGAGGACTCTAGAGGGGGAGTGAGGATGAGGAGGGACAAGAGATACGAGAAATGGAGACAAGACAGGGCTCTGATCAAGTGTCGTTTATTCTGGGGAGATCCACGGTATATATAGGGCAAGAAGCAGAAAAACAAGAACATTTGTTGCCAAGCTATGTTTGTGGTAACCACCCTGAAGCAATTTCAAGTAAATATCATGTAAATATCATAGGTGGAACAAAAGATAAACAGAGCATAACTGGCTGAATAAATGGTTACTTAAAGGAATGTAGAAACATTGTATACAGAGGTATCCTGCCTTGGGGCAGGAGATGGCAGATTTTAGCAAAATGGATGCCATGCAAACAGTCTCCCACATTTGCCAACACTGATATTCTGTTTTGTTTTGTGCTTATTATTTCTTTGTTTTCTATTTTATTGATCAAACTAATAATACAAAAAGTTGCATAGGTTGAAGGGAGAAGATAGCAGCAGGCAGGACCGGAGGGAGGGTGAGTGCCTGAGAGAGTGAGCTAGTGTATGAGAGAGTGTGAGTGGACGTGAAGTGTGAGTTTGGATGACCAAACTCATGCAGTTCAGAGAGGCAGAGCATAAAGTTCCAGTGCTGTGGAGGGGAGTATCCAGCTACCTCTGTAAGCAGCTCTTCAGGGCGCTTCTCCTTGTGCCACGGGGAGGTCCCACCATTTTGGAAGATCCCAGGTCTTCTCTGGGAGGAGGCAGTGGGAGCGGCTAGGGCCCAGCAACCTGAGCCCACCAGCACACTTGGCACCATCAGACCAGTGGACACTTGATGTCAACACAGACCAGTGCACAGTAGTGGAGCTGCCAAGGTGCTGGTCGCAGAAGCAGCGGACAGCCAGGAGCCCAGCACCATCCCCCTCAGTAGCAGCCTGGTCAGAGTCCACATATATCCTCAGCAACAGAGGCTGGGGAGTAGACATCTATCTCCAGGCAACAGAAGCACAGACCAGCAGCTGACACCCATCCCCAAAATCTACAGCAAAAGCTGAAGAGGAGTTGAGCCCCATAGGGCAGCAGCATTCCCCAGCCATCAGCATCGGGACCTGGGGCTCCACAGAGGCCTATGCAGTCCAGAAGCTCACATGAGCAGTGGGAAGCAGGAGCCCAACAGAGACTGGTGTGATCCAGCTGCTCGTGGGTCCTGCCCGGTGCTGGGGCACCAGAGAAGCCTGTGTGACCCAGCAGTCCACAACAGCAGTGGGAAGCCTGAGCCCAAGAGGGACAGGTGAGACCCAGGTGCCTGCCCATGGGACCCGCAGAGTGCTGGGGCACCAGAGAGGCCTGTGCGACCCAGCAGGGACTGTATGACCTAGTTAACCCTGGGAACCGCAGGGTGCTGAAACGCCACACAGGCCTCTGCTACCCAGCAGGGGCTGTGCTATCTACTTACCTGCAGGACCTGTGGGATGCTGAAGCACCAGCGAGGCCTGTGCAACCCAGCAGCCCATAACATAGGCATAGAGCCGGGTCCCCAAAGGGACTGTGCAATCCAGATACCCATGGGACCTGCAGGCTGCGAGGCCTGTGCGACCCAGCTGCACACAACACAGGTGTAGAGGATGTGAAAATGGAGGTAGAGTGAATGGAAGCTACACAGACAATCTCCCTGGACCAAACGGGAATTACAATTAAAATAAAGACAAATACTCAGAAAAAAGCAACAAAAAAGCAGCAGGACAGAACCATATAATCAGGGACACTGGTAGGATCTATGGAGGAGTGAGAGGGTGGCAGGCTGGGAGCCCAAGGACAGCATCAGTCTTAGCTGTGAGCAGCATCCTTGGGGAATAAAGATCAAGCCTGCTCCAAAGCACAAAGAGCCACCACAGAGCACTAAAAAAGCCACAGCCACTCACCTGGGGGCTACAGCAGGGGGGAGGACAGACTGGGCTAGAACTCTGTGGGTACAACTGGGATTTGGAGGGCATGCAGAGTTTTTGCTGAGTTGCAACCACAAAGGACGGTGGCCAGTATGCTCCTTCCCAGAGCTCTGGGGAAAAGCAGCAGCCCCCCTTAGCAGATTCAACCTTTCGCAGTTGAAGCAAAGAAATGCAAATTGAGGCTCATTAACAACCATCATCTATCCCACCCTCTGAAAATCCTCTTATCCAGAACACTAGGGCTACATTC